TATATACCGCTTCCCAGTGCTTTCCAGCCCTCTCTAAGCCGTTTACAGAGTCAGCCTCTTGCCCCCAACAATCTGGCTCCTCATTTTACCCACTTCGGAAGGACAGAAGGCTCAGTCAACCGTGAGCCAGTGAGAATCGAACTGCCAAACTGCAGGCAGCCGGCAGCCAGCACAATTTAGACTGCAATACTGCCTCCTAACCACCGTGCCACCACAGCTCTTGGAAGGAAGTGGTATTATATGTCATGATGTAGTCGCACCAATGAGGCCAGGATGGAGGTGACTTATTGTGACTTTACTGGGTGCCTTTGCCTAAACATATGGCCAGATGTAGCTAGTGTATCATTAGGATACGTATACAGGGGGCCTTTCAGAGGCTGCCATCCCAACATCCTTGGTTATAAGGGGAGAGTCCTGCTATTCCCACGACTTCCATCCACAATAAATTGGGGCTGAATATCAGCATCATTATCAAGATGGAGGAGACAATATTCCATTGTGCCTTAACTTACTTCCAAGAAGTCTATGAGTACATGTATTCCTTGACTTAACACAATTGAGCCCGGAGTTTCCACCGCTAAGGAAGACAAATGAGTTTTGCCCCATTTTATGACCTTGCTTGCGATCGTTGTTAAGTGAATCCCTGAAATCGTTGGACATTGTAAGGGAATCTGGTTTCCCCACCGACTTGGCTTGTCAGAAGGCCACCAAAGGGGAATCACGTGACCTCAGGACCAGTGGTGGGATTTAAAATTGACTACCGGTTCTGTGGGCGTGGCTTGATGGGCATGGCAGGGGAAGGATACTTTAAAATCTCCATTCCCACCACATTCCAGGGGGAAAGTTACTGCAAAATCCCCATTCCCTCCCCACCCCACTAACCTGCTTTCCAGCTCCGTTCTCCTGTGCAGGGCAACAAAAGGAGACCCAGACGATCAGCGGGTGGTAGAGCATAGATGGGGGCAGGGCCAGTCAGAGGCGGTACTGGCCGGTTCTCCGAACGATTCAAAATTTCTGCTACCGGTTCTCCAGAACCTGTCCGAACCGGCTGAATACATCTGCTCAGGACGTTGCAACCGTCATAAATATGAACCAGTTGCCGGGTGTCTGGATTTTGATCACGTGACCGCGGGGAAGGCTGCAATGGTCATTAAGTGTGAAAAATGGACGTACGTCACTTTCAGTGCAATTGCAACTTTGGTCCCTAAATGAATGATTGTAAGTCACGTGACCTTAGGACACAGCGATGGTCGTACATATGAATCAGTGGCCAAGCACCTGAATTTTGATCACGTGACCATGAAGATGCTACATAGGTTGTAAGTGTGGAAAAATGGTCATAAGTCGCTTTTTCCAGTGCCATTGTAACTTTGAACAGTCGCTCAAAGACTGCTGTAAGTCAAGAACCCCTTGTACATGCCCATTGCTGAAACTCCAAATTTTAAATTTTGAACGATCACTAACAAATGATTTGTCAGTTGAATACTACCTGTTGTGGCCTGCCAGCGACTTGGAGGGTGAGGAGATTGGGGAGAAGCCTGGGCCAGTCCTGGAGTCTGGGGAAGGCTCTGACGAGGGCTCTGCGTCGGAGGCAGAGAGGGGGCCAGGACCGTCTGACAGTTATCAGCTACCTTAGGAGTCGGAGATCAGTGAGGAAGAAGAACAGCTGAAGCCTGTTCCCAGTGCGCGCATGCACAGAGCTGCCAGGGGAAGGGAACAATTAAGGAACAAGAGTCGATTCAGGAGTGAGGGCACAGATGGACGGTGAATGGCCCCTCCCATAGGGAATAAAAGAGGAGCAAAAGGGGAGTGGTGTTTGCAGGAGGCAATTAGTTCGTTTAATTAGTCTGAAGATTTGTTCCTGACTTCTTGCCAAGTAATTGCTGCTACAGCGTGGCGTTTGGAAGCTATCGGCCTGGCAACTCTCCAAGCCTGATAAAAGTCTGTAGTTGTGAAATCTCATGAAAGACTGTTGGCCGGGACTTTGCTGGAGAGGAATTCACTTTAACCTAAATAAAAAGGGGTTTTACTGGGGCAAGGAGTCTGCTTCGGGATCTTGGGAAGCCTAGGTCAGAATACTACCTATACACAAAGTAGAAGCAGTCTCGAGTTACATTCAAAGTTACAACAGCAGTGAAACAAGCAACTTATAACAGTGGCCCCCAACCTTCTAGGCACCGGAGACCAGTTCCATGGAGAGAAGTTTTTTCCCTGGACTAGAAGAATTGTGGTTTCATGTGCTGCCTCCATCCCGTAGATGGGACTTCGCTTGTTTGCGCAGCCTGGTTTATGGCATGCTGTCACTTGGTACCAGTCCACGGACCAGAGTTGGAGACCCCTGACTTACAAGGTATCCCCAGATAACATGATCAAAATTTCAGTGTTTGGCAACTGGCATGTATTCACAAGAATTGCACTGTTCCAAAGTTATGGAATTGCTATTTGCAACCTTCCCAGCCGGATTCTGACACTCAAACTCAACGGTGGCACTGTTTCACTTAACAACCATGGCAAAAAAAAGGTTGTAAAATCAGCTGTGACTCACTTAACAAACACCCTGCTTAGCTATGAAAGTTCTGGTGCCAATTTTGTCATAGGTCGAGGAGTAACTTGTATACGTTAATCTGTTTTCATATGGGGTTGAGCCACGAATCTAATCTCTCTAACAGTAGTTTTTCAAAAAAAGGTTTAAATTGGTGTTTTTGAGATTCTTTCTACCTGGAGAAATTACAAAGATTTATTTGGCGGCTTCTGTGTGCAATGAATCATTCTTTTTGTATTCCTAACTATCTTTCTTCAAAGCAGGGAGTTTTATTTTTCAATGGAAGCAATCTTTTTTTAGATGTTTGCTTGAAAATGGTCAATGCAACACTGGATGATAGTTAAGAAAAACAGTTTTGCAACCCAGAAATCCTGGATTATTTTTATTTAGTTTTATTTTTCCACTGTTAAAAGTGTGTTTTCCCATAATAATCCCATAACAATCATCCATATCCATCTGGATTTGTTTCCAGTATGTTCTGCATATATTCGGTTCCATCAAAAGGCCTAAGGATTATATATTTGTAAGCAATGCAAAGTGGGGAAAAAAAATTCCCCATCTTTAAAAAATGTCTCAGAATGCCAGAATTTTCCATCACTCTTACAACCTTCTCAGGGTATAAAGCAAAGGAAAGCTGAAGAAAGATGGTAAGCAGAATTGCAAATTTACTTAATAACCACTTCATTTAATGACCATGTTGACAGTCCCAATTGTGGCTGCTAAATCAGGATTACCAATATTAAGCAGAGGGAAATAATTATTTATTTTTAACACACCGTTGGATTGCCAGACTCTGAAAAGACTCTTAATGGATTTCTTCAGACAACATAAATAATAATTAAATAATAATTAAATAATTCATAATTAATTTTTTTTAAAAACCCATAAAATGAAAAGAAAGAACAAACCTGCATAATATAGGCCAGGCAAGATTCCAGAGAAGCTCTGCTCTGCGTGCTTTCTGTAATCTTGACGGATAGGGTGGAGTTCTTCAGATAGAAGAGATGGGAAGATTATATATTTACAAGCAAAATACCCCTCACGCATCATCACAAAATCTCCACAACCGTAAAGCCTACAATCTTGAAATTTGGCACGTATGTTCCTCTTGGCTTCTAGGTGCTCATTAAGAAAGGATTTTTCGAAATGACCATCAGAGCATTAGTATTTCCTCACCTGAAAAGAAATCTGTTCCAAATGCAAAACACAGAGGAGTTTCAGTTTCAGAGCACCAAGTAGGTTTAGTACAGAACAGTTGAGCTAAGCCACGCCCAGGCTCCTTGCTGTCTCCTTGCTCACACAGCAAATACTGTTTCAGTTTCCAAACAGCCCTCAACTCTCACACACTGACAGAACACTAGCCAGATGAATACCGATGGATACTAGTAGGCAGAGGCATAATTCCCCCCCTCCTTATTTTCCTCCCCCAAAATTAAGCCTGATCACATAGTTTCATAGTGAAGCACGGGTATAGAGATGGTGTCTGGATAAGCATTTCTCTTTTAAGGTTTCTGGGTTGCTCCTACCTGAAACTCAAAGCCCACCAACAGCACTGCTGGGAGGATTCCTATTTTTGGTTGCTCTCTGAGCTTGATGGTTTTCTTGCAGACGTTTCATCACCCAACTTGGTAACACCATCAATGTCAGGGAGGGTAGGGTGGGGGGATTGCTGCCCGATTACAGGCATTCTTACAGAAAAAAATACAGTTTTCTTACATGCATCTTTCTCCCACATGCTTTCTCAACCCTCTGACACCCCTTCTGGGGTTCCAATAGAAGAAAGGGATAACCCTTGACTTATGACCACAATTCAGCCCAAAATTTCTGTTGCTAAACGAGACAACTACCGATATTGAGATTTCTGGTCATAGTTGTTACATGAATCATTGCTCTTGTTAAGTTAGTCACCCAGTTGTTAAATGAATCCGGCTTCTCAACTGACTTTGCTGGTCAGATGGTCGCAAAACGTGACCACAGGAGGCACTCTAACCATCATAAATATGAGTCACTTGCCAAGCCTCCGAATTTTAACTTGCATGACCATGGGTGGCAAGTGTGAAAAACTGTCCTAACCAAAGTCACTTTTTTTCAGTTTTGTTGTGACTTCAGTCCCCAAACGAACTGTGGTTAAGTCGAGGACTATATCTGTATCTGTAGCTCCTGACGATGCCAGGCTGGGGAATTCTGGGAGTTGGAAACCTACACCTCTTAAAGTTGCCACGCTTGACTTAACACACCAGAAAAACACCAGGTAGGGGTGATGCCTGACATGGCTTCAGACAAACCAATAACTCTTCACAGGAGGCGCTCGGGATTCGAACCTGCGATAAGGAGTAGGAGGCCTTTTTCTGCGCCTGCGCGTCTCTGAACCAGTAGAACCGATCGTTGGCGCCTGACCCGCGTCATCGTGGCGAATGGAGCTCAACTCGAGCCGGGATTGGCTGACACGGTCGCAGTCACGCGACCCTGCTTTCACCAATCCGAGGCCCGCGGGGAGGTTGCTACTGTTGCGCCTTCTTTCCTCTCCCCGGTTGCTACTCTATAGAAACGAGTCATTTCCGCTTCCGGGGGAAAGAAGCTGCGACTTTGGCGCAGGGTGAGGAGGTGGGGGGTGGGTGTCTCTCCTGCCCTCTAACCGGGCGCGGGCAAATCGACGGCCGGGAAGAGGCCTCTTCGGAGCCGGAGGACGGGGGTGGAGGGGTGGAGAAGCTGCGTGGATGGGGTGGGAGCCCGCCTGGCGCGGTTTTTCTCGACCTGAGAGGCCGTCGCCTCCGTGGGTCTCCCTTTCGGCTATAGGCGAGTGGGGATTTCATAGATTTCCCCGCTTTTATAAACCAGGGGTGTCCCCTTCCCCTAAAAAATGTCTCCATCCCCCGTTCTAAACGGCTATCAAAGAGCCCCATTTAGCTTCTGGCGTTGGAAAGAGGAGGGGGGGGGGGAAATCTGCAAGAATCTTGAGGACTAGCACCACTTTTTTTAAAAAAATGAAGGGCAATGTTGTCTCTGACTGCTGAAAAGCGGTAGAGAGCCTTGGAGGATTGTTGAAGTGTTTTCTGTTAGGTGTGGAAGGGTCCTTCCCGTTAGGCTATATCCTATTCGTATCTCATTCCCCCCCCCCCTTTCAATCAATAGGAATAGAGCTGGAAGGGACCCTGGAGGTCTTCTAGTCCAGCCCTCCTGCTCAAGCAGAAGAGACTAGATCATATAAATCAATCAGTCAATCAACCAGAATAGAGATGGAAGGGACCCTGGAGGTCTTCTAGTCCAGCCCTCCTGCTCAAGCAGAAGAGACTAGATCATATAAATCAATCAGTCAATCAACCAGAATAGAGCTGGAAGGGACCCTGGAGGGATTCTAGTCCAGCCCCCTGCTCAAGCAGGAAACCCTGTAGTGTATGCCATTTCAGACAGGTGGCTGTCCAGTCTCTTCTGATGGAGCACCCACAACTTCTGGTGGCAAGTTGGTCCACTGGTTCATTGTCCTCACTGTCAGGAAATTCCTCCTTAATTCCATCAATTCGTTGTTTTTTGCCCTGTCTTCAAGGGCTTTGGAGACTAGGTTGAGTCCCCCCACCACTTCTTTGTGGCAGCCCCTCAAATACTGGAAGTCTGCTATCATGCCCTTTTTTCCTTTAGACTGGCCAAACCCAATTCCTGCCACCGTTCTTCCTATGTTTTAGCCTCCAGGCCTTTAATCATCGTAGTTGCTCTTCTCTGCACTCTTTCTAGAGTCTCCACATCTTTTTTTATAAAGTGGTGACCAAAACTCAATGCAGTGTTCCAGGTGTGGCCTTAACTAAGGATTTATAATGTGGTACTAACACTTCACGTGATTTTGATTCTATGCCTCTGTTTAGACAACCAAGGATTGTATTAGCTTTGCCACCTTAATTCCTTCCGAGGTCAGTAAAATGAGGACCCAGATGGTTGGGGGCCATATGCTGACTCTCCAAACTGCTTAGAGAGGGCTGTAAAGCACTGTGAAAGTAGTCCTCGACTTATGAACACAATTGAGCCCCCAATTCCTGTTGCTAAATGAGACAATTGTTAAGGGAGCTTTGCCTCATTTTACCACCTTGCTTGCCACCGCCGTTAAGTGAATCACTGCAGTTGTTAATTTAGTAACACAGTTGTTAAGTGAGCCTGGCTTCCCCACTGATTTTGCTTGTCAGAAGGTCACAAAAGGGGATTGCATGACTCCAGGACTCTGCAACTGTCATAAATATGAGTCAGCTGCCAAGTGCCTTGAATTTTGATCATGTGACTGTGAGGATGCTGCAGTGGTCATAAGTCTGAAAAATGGTCATAAGTCACTTTTCAGTGCCATTGCAACTTTGAACGCTGACTAAATGAACTGTTGTAACTCAAGGACTACCTGCATAAGTTTAAATGCAATTATTAATTGTCAGTGCTGTTGTATTTATAAGTGCATAGAAAATATTTTGCTTAATGATAGCTGGGTCTGTTGTATTACTGTAACTTCTAAAACATTGTTTCTTAAAATGTGATCTGAGGACTCCTGAAAGTCTCTCAGGATTCAGGAATCCTGAAAATTATTTGTCAGCCTATGTTAAAAAATAATACAGTATTAAAATCCCATCCGACAATTGTAAGAGGCAGCAAATGTGTCAATTTTAATGTATAATGTGATAAATACTAGTCGATGTAAGTTACAGAACCAGGAGTCCTTTTTTTAAAAGTGGGTTCCTGAGAGGAAAACAATTGAAGAATCACCCTTACATTACTTTTGATTGGTGCAATTGTAATTTTGAATAAAATTTCTATGTTAAAAAAAAAAAAGAATTCCTATACCTGCAATAACATTTGGTGGTACTCTTTGTATGACTGCTTAAAATCCTTAGGAGAAAAACTACCTGTCCCTCAGCTAAATTGCAAGCTGTATGACATTTAGATTAATACACACACACACACACACCTTTTACATTTTCTGACTTCCTATTTATTTAGGGCGCTCCTTTCATAGAGGAAAATAACCCTCACTTCACTGTGATTGGGGAAAAGGAAAGCATCCATTTTGACTTCTCTCAAGATCCTGCTCTCAGTGAGTATCGGTTGTGTGTGCTGTTTTATTTATCATCCAAAGTACTTTGACTGCAGTACTTTCTCATTTCTCAATTCATTTTTACAGTTTGCAGTATCTGACCTACCTTCAAATTGTTGGGTTTTTTTTTAACATGCAGTAATTGATCTATTACCTAATTCTAGGAAAAAGACAAGTGAAAGAATGGCCATATTTGAATTACAGTAGGTGGAATCTGCTCAAGGCAACTTATTTTACCCTGTCTTGACATTACTAAAATTCAAAGTTCAGTAAAGTTCAGTGTAAAACGAGGCATCCAGAGACTCTGGAACTAATTTGTCTTCAAGGGGTGGTATAGAAGCTGTTTGGAAGGAAGTGAGACCAGCATAGAAACACACAAAATGGATTTCATCCTTAGATAGAATTATGTTTGATTTCTTGTTTAAAAAAAAAACAGGTTTAAATTCTGGTGAAAGCTTCTGCTTTGTCATTTTTTGCCAGGCATTCAGGGACCAATGTGATATCTAATATGATCAATAATCAAAGAATATTTTGGTAGAGCCTATTGGAGGCTGGGGTGCAGTGTGAAAAAGTTGCTGTGTTACATTTTGTTATATTTCCCTTTCTTCCTCCCCCCCCCCCCCCCCCCCCCCCTTAATGCATGGACGTGCCTCGTTTCCTCACCCTGTGGAATAGCTGGGAGAAAAGCAGGATGTGGCACGAAGCTCGAAAACATGAGCGAAAGCTTCGGGGGATGATGGTGGATTACAAAAAAAGAGCGGAACGCCGGAGAGAGTATTACGAAAAGATAGTGAGTGTCTTTCTCCTTGGTTCATTTTGGGAGAATGCCTTATGTCTACTGCCTCTTTCTTTCAGAAACTAATACCCTTCAAGAAACGAGCGTGAGATGTTACCTTTTTCTCGCGAACAGAATTTTCTGACAAATGAAACTGAATCTACGTGGCCCAGGATAATGTTTTCAGGTTCCAATCTGGATCGGTCACAACTAAAAAAAAAGACACACAACGGGCACCATATAAACACCGCACACAGAATAGCCCAAAGTGCACACATTGCTAGAGACGGGTTCCCTGAGGATGGGCTCCACCACGAGTCCGAAAGCTCGGAGGACTAAACCTCTGGTTCTGGTGACCGACCCAGATCGGATCCTGTGGAATTTTTGGGTACTGAATATTGTTGCAGAATTGCTGATGTCCGCATTTTTGCATCCACGGTGTCACCTGCGAGAGGGGAATATCCCAAACCAACCACCCATACCAAAACCTTTGAACTCTTCTTAAGGCCATAATGGGGGCACTTAGCTTTCCCATCTCTTTACCTTCCTAGCCCTTATGAAGTTGTTTTTCTCCCCTCCCAATTTCGATGGAGGTGATTGTTAGGTTTATTTCTCCCTCGGCTGCATGTTTAAAGAAATGGTCACTGTTTGCATGTTTATTGCCGTATGCATCCTTTTGTGGATTCTTAATCTGTAACGGTGCCTTTGTTCATCTTTAAAGCGCTTTCAAGCTTGCTTTCGTTGCCTTTCAAGTTGAGCTGTGGGCGTGTTTTATGCCAGCCATTTCTCAGGTTTTAGGGTGGGGTTATTGGGGAGCAGCTCATAGTTATATGGAAAATAAGGGCTAGTTGAACAGATATTCGGAATATGCCAGGCCCTTTTAGTTAAATCTGTGGGTGTGATGCCCTTGGTGGGTTGCCATCTTGAAGGAGAGCTGAGAAAAGACATACAGTGTTGTAATGACGAGGCAGTCAAGCTGTTTGATCATGATCAAATGAATCATGATGAACTTTATTGGAGTCTAGTCTTGCATTTATACACATTTTTAGTAATCCTCTAACTTTGGTTAACTTTGGTCTCTGCTTGACTTTCGTTATTGTTCAGCATAGTAACTAACACAATTAATGATCTCTAGTCAAAATCCAACATACGTTTACTTCCTCTCTCTAATCCTCCTTTACATTAATGACTTCGTTTGCCTGAGTTGTATTTGCTTTGTAAACATTCATTACCTGAGGTTTGCCATCAGATAGGAACATTCCTGCAATTACAACTCTACAATACAGTATATGAAATCATAGAAGCTCAGATTAGTTAAGTTATTACAGTCTCCGACCAACATTTGGCACCCATTTAAAATCCTCAACCATCAAACCAACTAAGAACCAAGGCAAAACATAAAAACTACAGATGTGATGTGTGTGTGTGGGGGGGAAGAGGGCTTAAAGGCAATCCTTCCAATACTAAAAGGAGAACGAAGCTGCCATGCAATGAGATGGCCAGCAACAAACTGAATTGACAAAATAAAATACGAGTAGGACAGAATCCTGGAAAGAGCCTATACTCTGGCTGTAAGTTGGAGTTGGATCAAGTGTTGGTTTGGGGCGGTCACCAGTGGGTTTCTTTCCCTCCAGAAAAAGGATCCAGCCCAATTCCTGCAGGTCCATGGGCGCGCCTGCAAGGTGCACTTAGATTCCGCCGTGGCTCTCGCCGCTGAAAGTCCTGTGAATATGTGAGTAGTTTGCATTTTGGGGCTGAACAACAGTAGAGCAGTGTTTCTAACCTAGGCAACTTGGAGCTGTGTGGACTTCAACTCCCAGAATTCCCCAGCCAGCGACTCATAATAAGAATAAGCGTTGAGTGAAAGGAAATGCATATTTAATTATACATGTATTAAGTGCAGCTAGTTAAATGTATTTGTACAAAGTTGGAAAAGGGATGGGATCCCTACAGATGAGAAGGTGATTAGGAAGATATTGGAATCTGCAGAAATGAACAGATTAACGCTTGCTATAAAGGAGAAAGAACAAACTGAATATTGACATGGGAGCTATTTTATGGATGGTTGGAGAATAAAAGTAGAAGTGAGGAATAAATGGAGATGAGTGAAATAAAGAATATATGTTAAGATAGAGATGTAAACAATACGATTATTAATATAAGATTATTATATCTAATGTAATATGTTTTCATTAGAAGATATGTTAAGAGGAAGAAATGAATAGAGTTATAATGCTGATTATTATTATTGTAAGATTAGAGGATATTACCAATGTAACGAATATTGTAAATTTTGATTGTAATAGCATAGAGACATCTGTACCCAGATGACACACTGTTTAATGGAAGATGATATGTTTAAGTTAAAAAAATAAAAGACTTATATATATATATATATAAGAATAAGCATTGAGTGAGATCCCATCCACCTTTTGGTGTTGTGTCCTTCCAGGATGCCTTGGCAGGGGGATACCAACAACATGATTGACCGGTTCGATGTACGGGCGCACCTGGATTACATCCCCATGTATACTCCTCCCCTGCTGAATCCAATGTAAGGCATTTGTTCCTTCTCTCTCCCCCCCCCCCCCCCCCCCAAAAGCACTCCATTTCAGCTCCTTGCATCAGTCGGAGGTTGAGAAGAGAGCTTGGTTCGGCTTCTGAAATACTTTGATCGGGAAGGGATAAACTCCTGTGTAATCTGACTGATGGATTCCTTCGGATTGTGACTGGGCAAATCAATTGCGATGGGCTGCCTTCATGACACAGGCCCAAGCAGAAAAATTGTGGTCGTTTGGCTGACGTATCAGAGGAGAATAAGAATAGAGTACAATAGAATTAGAATTAGGAATAGAATAGAATAGGAATAAGAATTAATAGAATGGAAAGGAATAGAATAAGGAATAAGGAAAGAATAGAAATAGAAATAAAATTAGAATTAGGAATAAAATAGAGTTGGAAGGGACCTTGGAGGTCTTCTAGTCCAGCCCCCTGCTCAGGCAGGAAACCCTATATCAGGGGTCCCCAAACTTGGCAACTTTAAGACTTGTGGACTTCAATTCCCAGAATTCCTCAGCCAGATTCGCTGGCTGAGGAATTCTGGGAGTTGAAGTCCACAAGTTTTAAAGTTGCCATGTTTGGAGACCTCTGCCCTATCCCATTTCAGACAAATGGTGGTTATCCACTCTCTTCTTAAAAATTTCCAGTGTTGGAGCATTTACAACCTCGTGGCAAGTTGTTCCACTGGTTAATCTCACTGTAGGAAATTTCTCCTTGGTTCTAGGTTGTTCATGTGTTCTAGATGTTAATGCGATGTGGGAACCCAGTTGGTATAAAATAACATGGTGTTTTTTTGTGTGTGTTTTTTGGGGGGAAGGCTCAGATTAACACGGGGAGTTCCTTCACCCCGTGATTTTCGGAACTGGGGTGCAGGGGGGTCGGGTGGGAGGGTTAGCACAAGTTCTGTCAATCCTTGTATACTTTTCCAAGACTTTCTTGCCTGACGTTTTGCATGCTTAGAATTTTAATTCCGCTCTTTTTCCTCTTATGCCTCCAGCACTCCCGAGCAGGAATCTGACGAAAGGAAATGCAACTATGAAAGATACAGGGGACTTGTCCAGAACGATTTTGCTGGCAGTAAGTTTTCTTCCATTTTTCTTGCCCTGCTGTAGTGCACAGAGGTTTAAGGAATTGAGGCCGCTTCTCTCCTAGCTCCTCCCAGGCGTGCTCCTCAAGCCAAACACCTACATTTTTAATGAATTAATTTGTAGGGTTCATTCCAGTCAGCCTTTAGGGGCAGCAAGTGTGATGACCTGGGGCGTGACACAAAAATAACTAAGTCACAAAAGTAGAATAAATTCCCTTCGATGCCTCCAACTTGGCCCCCAATGTCCAATTATCCTTGGCTGGAGATCAGACTTTTCCAAAAACAGTCTACAAATGGAGTAAATGCAGTCCGAACCCAAAGTAAAGATAATTAGAAATAAAAAACCCAACACAAACCACACTGAAGTAATTAACACGTCAGGCCAGGATGATAAATTGCAGACTTTCAAAAGATAACACAGCACCCACAGTTGGGAGGACGCCAAAACCCAGATAAGCCTCAACAAAGATAATGCACGCTTTGCTTCCAGCAACTTTGCCATGTGTAGTTTGCCCTTTTAAACAGTCTTCCCAGCTGCAGCCCATGCAGGCGATCAGGGCCCTTTCCTCTCCCATAAACCACATTGCTCCCTTCTCCGTTCCTCCCTGCATGCCCTAGGATGAAGAGGGGGTGGCCCTGGGTCTTCCTCTGGATGCCCAGCTGGAACTGTGCCTGTCCCCCTGTTTCTTCCACAGCCACTGGAGCCACACTCCTCACTCCCTGTCAGCTGCTCAATCTCCCCCTCAGAATCAGACTCTAACAAGGGCATGACAGCAAGGTTGAGGGTGGGATTACAGGTATTCCTCAACTTGCAATAATTCATGAGACCCAGCCTTTTTTTTCCGGGGAAACACGACACCTGAAGTCAACCTGATTTTGCTGCATTGGGCCAGACTTTGTGGGTATCTCATCTGCTTCCTCTCCATCCCTGTTTTGCAGTCTCGGAAGAACAGTGCCTGTATCAGATCTACATCGACGAGTTGTACGGAGGACTCCAGAAGCCCAACGAGGACGAAAAGAAGAAGTGAGTAACCACGAGGTAGAGACCCACTTGGGATGCCTTGGCTGGGATTCAGACCCTTTTGTGAACTGTGGGATTGTCCTCGGGGCTCTCTGAGCTCCGTTGCTTTCTCGCGGACGTTTCATGACCCAACTAAGGAACGTCATCCGTGCTGAATAGGATTTATAAACAAAGAGCAAAACCCCTCTCACTTCTGGCACTGATGATGTTCCTTAGTCGGGTCATGAAATGTCTGCAAGAAAGCAAACAAGCTCAGAGAGTACTGAGGAGGACCTACAGTCACAAAAGGACCCTCACAGTGCTCCTCCTCCTCCTCTCCCTCCCACCCTCCAATCTCTGATGAAGTTACCTAGTTGGGTCATGAAACATCTGCAAGGAAGCAACCAAGCTCTGAGAGCACTAAGGACCCTATCCTCCTCCTCCTCTTCCTCCTCCTCGCAAACCCCACTTCCTTCTAGTACTGATGATGTTATCTAGTTCGGTAGTGAAACATTTGCACAAGAAAATAACCAAGTTCAGAAAGCACCAAGGACCATACAGTTCTCATTTCCCCCCCTTCCTCCTCCTCCTCCTTCCCCCCCTCCCCCCCCCCCGCACTGATAATGTTCCCTAGTTGGGTCATGAAACATCTGCAAGAAAACCACCTAGTTCAGAGAGCACCGGGGATCCCACCATTCAACGCTGAGCTACCAATATTCTCTCCTATCGGTACCTTTTGTGACTCTTCCCTCCCCGTTGCTCTCAGCTGTGCTCTCAGACACTGAATGTTGGTTTGACTTCCTGAAGACGAGACATTTATTTCCACATCTGGTTTGAATGCTGACAGCTGAGAAAGGCAGGGGAGGCTGTATTCTTAACCAGTCTGCGGATTAAAGCTGGTCGAAAAAGCAGTATAAAAATCCTTGAAATAAATCGGGCGACAGGTAGAATAGCCAGCACGGATGTCTGCTCTGGGACTCCTGGCAGCCTGATGGGAAAAATGAGAGCAGGGTTCCAATATCTCAGGGGCTGCCCCAAACAAGAGGGAGTCAAGCTATTCTCCAAAGCACCTGAAGGCAGGACAAGAAGCAACAGGTGGAAACTCATCAAGGAGAGAAGCAACTTAGAACTAAGGAGAAATTTCCTGACACTTAGAACAATGAACCAGTGGAACTGCTTGCCTCCAGAAACTGTGAATGCTCCAACACTGGAAGTTTTTAAAAAGATGTTGGATAACCATTTGTCTGAAGTGGTGCAGGGGTTACCTGCCTAGGCAGGGGGTTGGACTAGAAGACCTCCAAGGTCCCTTCCAATTCTGTTATTCTATTCTATTCTATCCTATCCTATCCTATCCTATCCTATTTTTTTGCATTATAATTCCTAGAACACTCAGTTTTAATTGCTGCTCCTGTTTGAGACTCGAGAAAGAGTGCAGAGAAGAGCAACCAGGATGATTAGGGGACTGGAGACTAAAACAAACGAACGGTTGCAGGAACTGGGCCTGGCTAGTCTAGGGAAGAGAAGGACCAGGGGAGACAGGATAGCATCTTCCAATATTTGAGGGCCTGCCACAGAGAGGAAGAAGGGGGTCAAGCTATTCTCCAAAGCACCTGAGGGCAGGACAAGAAGCAATGGATGGAAACTAACCAAGGAGAGAACCAACCTAGATCTAAGGAGAAATTTCCTGAGAACAATTAACCAGTGGAACTGCTTGCCTCTAGAAGTTGTTAAATGCTCCAACACAGGAATTTTTTAAAAAGATGGTGTAGGGTTTCCTGCCTAAGCAGGGGGTTGGACTAGAAGACCTCCAAGGTCCCTTCCAACTGTGTGATTCTATTCTATTCCTCTATGCAGGTTGGCGGAGAAGAAAGCTTCCATCGGCTACACCTACGAGGACAGCACAGTGGCCGAATTTGAGAACCCGTCCGAGAAGCGAGCAGAGGAGGAGGATTCTGAAGAAGACAGCAACACCGATGAGGATGAAGTGATCCCCGATATTGGTACACCTCCAGATCACCTTTTTAGGATCAGGCGTGTTGCAGAAACGGGAGCACGGCAGGGAACGGCCGAGAGATCTGGCTGGCAGGCCTGGTTGGATGGGTGGGGGCCACCAACGTTCAGCTGCCTTCTGTTGCTTTCAGATGTTGAAGTTGACGTAGACGAGTTGAACCAAGACCAAGTGGCCGATCTGAATAAGCAGGCGACAACTTATGGGATGGCTGAAGGAGATTTTGTCCGGTAAGATTCCTCTCCCCCACCTCACCCCTTTTGGGGGGGCAGTTCTGGAGAAGCTCACACGTGATACGTAGGGAGTCCTTGACGTAGGACTCACAATTGAAGCCAAAATTTCTGTTTGCTAAGCGTAACATTTATTAAGGGAAGTTTGCCCCTTTTTAACATCCTTTCTGGCTACCTTTTTTAAGTGAATTGCTGCGGCGAACAAGTTAGCGACACGGTTGTTAAGTGAATCTGGTGTCAAGCCTGAACTTGGCATATGTGTAGCCATTTTAGTTAGGCTTAGTAGATGTTCTTTTTCTTACTTTCTCTGTGGCAGTCATGGGGGCTTGACTGCCACTTTCCTAAGGGGGGGGAGGAATGGAGATAGAGTTGTTTAGGTGAGGTGGTTCTTCTTCCCGTGGGAAAACGAGCTGTCCGTGCCGGGGCCGTTGAGTTACTTCTATTTGAGAATGTGACTTTTGGGGGTTGTTTCTACCTTCTGATATTGTGGGGGTAATTCCGGGTTGGGTCAGATCCAGAAAACCATGGACTTTTGCCAATTAGATGCTTTCCTAAATAAAAGAAATTGTCTTGGAAGATGGGCTTTGTTCTTTTCTTTTTAAATGGATTTCATCACTTGGAAACCTGACATCTGGCTTCCCTGTGTGTCAGAAAGTCGCAAAAGGGGGTCAAATGACCCCCCCCCCCGAGACACAGCTACTGTCATAAATGAGTGCATTCCAACTCAGGCTAGTAATACTATGAGTAAATTTGCAGATGATACAACAGTGGTGGGACTTATCTCTGGGTGTGTGTGTGGGGATGAGTCTGCCTACTGAGATGAGGTGGACTGGTTGCTTTCATCGTGTGGAGACCATAACTTGGTCATCAACACCAATAAGACCAAGGAGCTCATAGTGATTATAGAAGGAACAGATCAAACCTCCAGCCCTGGCTTATCAATGGAGACCGAGGGGAGCAAGTGGCCAGTTTTAAGTTTCTGGGTGTTACCCTAAAAGAGGACCTGACCTGGGGAGGCTCACATTGCAGCCCTGGTCAAAAGGGCCCAGCAGAGATTAGACTACCTGCGACTTCTCAGAAAACAACAACTGAATGAAAAACTGCCAGAGACCTTCTACCGCTTCACCATAGAGAGTATCTTAACTTACTGCAACTTGTGTCTGGTTTGCCAGTTTGCACAGTGGCAGATGGGATAGTGCTCCAGAGGGTTAACGTCATTGCCCAGAGTATCATGGGTTGCCCTCCCCTCTTTGGAAGAGCTTTATAGCTCCTGCTGCCTTAAGAAAGTTCAAAACATTCTTAAAGATCCATCTCATCCTGGGAACCCTTTTTTTGAACTATTACCATCTGGAAGACAGTACAGGATAATAATAAAAACAAGGACAAATAGGCTGAAAAACAGCTTCTATCCCAGGGCAGTAGCTCTGTTGAATTCTACTGTATAGTACACTGAAGATGGTATTTAGTTTTGTCGTATGATGTGCAATGACAATTAAACTAAACTAAACCTGAGTCAGTTGCCAAGCATCTGAATTTTGATCACGTGACTGCGGATGCTGTAACGTTATAATTGTGAAAGTCACTTTTTCCAGTGATGATGGAAGTTTGGTCACGAAATGAACTGTTGTAAGTTGAAGAACTACCTGTACTAACAGTCAAAGCAAATTGATAGTAGATAAAAGTCAGTGGAATTCAGGGTGGGCTAGATTATATCTCTTGTGGACACGAAGAGACTCAAGGCTGATGACATGTTTGACACCCCCCCCCCCCCGGCCCCGCCTAGTCCCCCCCTCCAACCCCCATTTCTGGGCATACCTCTCTAGGGTTACCCTCTGTGTGTCAGCACCCCCTTTTTCTTCAATGCCCTCTTTTCTTTTTCTGGAAGGATGTTGCGGAAGGACAAAGAGGAGGCGGAAGCTATCAAACACGCCAAAGCTCTGGAGGAAGAAAAGGCCATGTATTCGGTAAGGAAGTGGAAGTCTAGAATAGGAATAGGAATAGAATAGAGCAGAGAGAAGAGAAAACAGTTGGGAAGGGACCTTGGAGGTCTTCTAGTCCAACTCCCCCACTCAGGCAGGAAAAACCCTAGTCTAGACTATTTCAGACAAATGTTTGTCCAATCTCTTTAAACCCTTCAGTGTTGGAACATCCACAACTTCTGGAGGCAAGTTGTTCCATCGGTTAATTGTCCTCAGTGTTGGGAAATTTCTCCTTAGGCCTAGGCTGTTCTCTTCATTTGATGGAGGGGAGGGTCGTGTCCAACGCTTCTCACTTCTGACTCGTCTAAAATCCTCCCCGATGCAAAAAGTTGGGGACGTCCCCCTCGTCCACGGCTGGTCCACCGGGGAGCAGTGATGCTAGGCCCCCTCAGAGCCTGGGGCCTTTCTTTGCTCTCTCACGTCTGCCTTCTCTTCCAGGGTCGTCGCTCCAGGCGGCAAAGGAGGGAATTCCGAGAGAAGCGTTTGAAAGGAAGGAAGATCAGCCCTCCGAGGTAGGCCTTTCGGAAGTTGGGCCCCTTCCACTGTTGGCTGCCCTCGAGTCTCTGCGGGCGGGTGGAATTTCCAGGATCTTTTCCTTCTGGAGGGAGACCAACACTAAGCTGCCGTTCATAAGTGGTGGATTATGGGTAGGAGAACCCCAGAGGTGCTTTGTCAAGAGGCAACTGGGCTTTCTGGTTTTTCTTTCGAGATGTTTTGCTTCTCATCCAAGAAGCTTCCTCAGCTCCTAGTTGAAGATATGAACCCTGAATCGATGTTACGAATCGGTGAACGAACATAGATAGCTCATTCCCCACCATCCAGTCAGAAGCCGAAGAAACTTCTTGGAGGAGAAGCAAAACGTCTTCCAAGCAAAACCAAGAAAGTCCAGTTGCCTCTTGAAAAAGCACCTTTGGGACAACCAGGACCTGGAGGACTGAGAATCTCCATACCGTTTTTCCAAAAAAAATACAATTACCCTGAAAGTAAGTCCTAGCTTGATTTTTACACATGCGCCCAATATAAGCTCTACCCCCAAAATAAGCCCTAATTAAGATCCCACTCGCTCCGGAGTAGACAGGTAAAAATTAAGCTAGAGTGGGGATGGGGAGGTGGAGCTGCCCTGCTACTTACCTTTGGACAGGTTTAGCCAGGCCTCGCACACCCCGACACCTGCCTTGCCGGCCCATTTCTTCTGCAGTTGGCAAGGCTTTCCTGAAGGCCTCTGTAGTGGATAACAAAGCTCTGGATCGATCCAGAGCTCTGGTATTGCCTGCAGAGGCCTTCAGGAAAGCCTTGCCGGCCGCAGAAGAAGAAGTTCCTGAAGGCCTCTGACAGCAAAAAGGAGGCCTGGGAGCGACACACACACAACTGAGGTTAGTCAGTGGATGACATCCCCCGAAAATAAGACCTGGTGCCTTTTTTTGGTGGCAAAAAGATATAAGACGGGGTCTTATTTGGGGGGAAACGCGGTAGCTCATACCCCCACTATCCAGTCAGAGCGGAAGAAGCTTCTTGGATGAGAAGCGAAACGTCTTCAAAGAAAAAAACAGGAAGTCCAGTTGCCTCTTGAAAAAAGCACCTTTGGGATCAACCAGGACCTGGAGGATGGAGGACCTCCGTCGATATCTGTAGGAGAGCTAGTCTAAGAAATTCACGCCATAAGGGAGAGATTTTTTTTAAAAAAAAGATATTTTCTGCACGGAGTGTGAAGTCGCTGCCGAAACGAAAGGCAGGAGGCTACAGTTCAGTTTTGCAAACCTTTCCGTGGTGCAGGGCGGACTTTTCGTTCTCACAGCCTTCTCTCATTTTACAGTTATGCGCGGAGAGACAGTCCCACCTACGATCCCTACAAACGGTGAGTGAAGACAACGGCTCTGCTTTTTTTTTGGGTGGGTGGGGGGGGGAAATCCCTTGGTTCTCCTGTGGATCGGTGAAGGGGAAGTTACTAGTATGTGAAAACAAGAGTTAAACGCCGCTCCTTTCTAGCACTGATGTTGCTTAATTTGGTAACGCAAAGTCTACAAGAAAACCACCAGGCCCAAAGAGCATCAAGGACGCCACAATCATCCCTTCCTCCTCCTCTTCCCCCCCCCCCCCCATTCCTTTGTAGCACTGATGATGTTACCAAATTGGGTAACAAAACACCTTAAAGAAAACCACCAAGCTCAGAGAGCACCAAAGACCCCACAGTCCTCCTCCTCTTAACTTCACAAATTTTGCTCCTAGCACTGATGACGTTACCTAGTTGGGTCATAAAATGTCTGCAAGAAAACAAGCAAGCTCAGAGAGCACCCCTACAGTCCTCTTCCTCCTCTTCCTCCTCCTTCCCCATCTCCGCTTCAGCTTCCCCCCCCTCCTCCAGTAACACCTCCACCACCACCACAAAAGACCCACGCCCTCCTAACCCTGATGATGTTAGCTAGGTGGGTCATGAAACATCTGAGCACCACCCACCTCAAGAGAGCTCCAAAGCTCCCTCCGTTCCACCCGGGATACACTGAAGAACTGCTCTGGACTGGGATTAGCCTCTCTCTCTCTCTCTCTCTCTCTCCCTCCCTCTCTCTCTCTGTTCTGTCCCAGCCGAAGTTTCCGAAAGCAAACAAAGATAAACTCCAAAACTGAAACGTTGGCGGCTTTATTCCACAAATAACCCTCTTTGTAGATAACAGGTGGCTTGCAGCCAATTAGTCCAATAAATCAGAGTGTAATCATCACACTAACTCCTTCGAACTTTTGCCTTGTGCAAAGGCAAAAGCCATTTGAAACCAGGCTTATATTCCCTAGAGGGAGGGGCCATTAATTTGCATTGTTACTCCCAAGTTGCCTGTGCTGCTCTTCCATGAATCATCCTGCTCTCGCTCACACCCAGCACAGGCTTCTCCAGAACATCTTCCTGATTGCTGCCGGCGAACCACAACACTCTCCCTCCCTCCCTCTCTCCCTTTCCCTCCCTCCCTCCCTCCCTCTCTCTCCCTCTTTCCCTCTTTCCCTCCCTCTCTCTCTCTCCCTCCCTCTTTCCCTCCCTCTCTCCCTCCCTCCCTCTTTCCCTCCCTCTCTCTCCCTCTTTCTCTCTCTCTCCCTCTTTTCCTCCCTCCCTCCCTCTTTCCCTCCCTCCCTCTCCCTCTCTTTCTCTCTCTCTCCCTCTCTCTCTCTCTCTCTCTCTCTCTCTCTCTCGTGACCGCCATGCCTTCCTCCCACAGATCCCCCTCGGAATCCAGCTCTGAGTCTCGTTCCCGCTCTCGCTCGCCTTCCCCCGGTCACGAAGAGAAGATCACCTTCATCACCAGCTTCGGGGGCAGCGACGAAGAAGCCGCTGCTTCTCAAGCCGCGGGAGCCCCTCGGAAAACGCCCCCCCTCAACAAGCCACGCTCCGGCCAAGCGCAGCAGGGCAGCGTTCCGGCAGGTCATAGCGCCTCCTCCCGGTCGGTAACTTTCGCACCCGCCTGGCCTTTCCCAAACCTTAAAAGGTCGAGAGATTTGATTTTTTTGACGTCCATCCGCCCCGAATTGCTTGGTCTGGTCCTGGCCGGGTTAGGGGAGCCGCGTTGCCCTCGGTCACTCCGGCAGGCCAATTCTTTGCCCAAAGGATCCTTTCGTGATGGAATCTGGTCAGGGATCAGAAAAGAGAGGTTGTGGGGGGGGGGAGCTCTTGTCCCATGAGAGGTTTCCTGCATCCACCTGTAGCTTCCTGGAAGGAGAGACAGGGTTCGGGATCCTTGTACGGTTGCCTTAATTTTGGAGGGATGCCCTGGAATTACAGTTGGGAGGATCCTTTGGCCTGGGAAGTTGATTGACTGCAAATTAAATCCCAGCCTGTTCCAACCGGCCGATTTTGCGACGATTGGCTGCTCGCTCTGCCCACTAGCATTATTATTACGCTACTGATAGTACTTTGGCCCACCTTTGGAAAGATTTAAGCCCGTGATGGTGAACCTATGGCACACGTGGGCCAGAGGTGGCACGCAGAGCCCTCTCGGTGGGCACGCACGCCATCACTAGCTGCTTTTGGGGTTTCTGGCGTGCACGTATGCACTGGCCAGCTGGTCTCCAAAAACAGGTCGCTTTCTGGCCCATTTTCAGGGCGTTTTTCAGGCGTTTTCTGGGGCATTTTGGGGCTGTTTTCGGGACGTTTTTGGCCCTGAAAAACAGCTGGAAAATGGCCCTGAAAATAGCCTGAAAAATGGCCAAAACAGGCCATTTTGGGGGCCATTTCCAGACCAAAAACAGCCCAAAAAACGACCCCCAAAATGGCCAAAAACAGCCCCCCAAATGGCCAAAAAAGAGACATGCACTCACCCATCAACTGGTCTTTGGTTTTCCGGTGCTCTGGCATGCGCCCATGCATAGGCAGGCACAAGTTCTGGTTTGGGCACTCGGTGCCGAAAAGGTTTGCTGACTTAAGCGTTCTGATTTGACTTACAGTTAGTCCTCGACTTAACGGCCACAACTGAGCCCAGCGAGGAATGGGTTATTAATTTTGCCCCATTTTTACGACCCCCCCCAGGCTACATTTCTTCAGCTGAACCGCTGCCGTTGTTAAATGGGTAACGCAGTCGTTCAGTGAATCCGGCTTCCCCATCGACCTGTGTCGGTCAGAAGGCCACTTAAAAGACGACCACGTTTTCCCCCCGGGGGGCACTGCAGACCGTCGTAAATGTGAACCTGTTTGCCAAGCATCTGGGTTTTGATCACACGACCGGAGTGTGTGTGTGTCTGTGGTGCAACGATCATAAGGGCGAACGAGGGTTGCAGGCCTTTTTTTCCAGTGCCGTTGTAACTCTGAGCGGCCGCTAAAACGAATGGTCGAGGATTACCTGTATTTTATTTCTCTCTCGGTAAAATGTTATCAAGAAAAACTGAAGGAGCCGCACAATTGTGGCAGAGCAGCAAACGGCAATAAATAGTCACGTGCCATCGAGCCTTTTGTCAGCAGGACCAAAGCTTGGGAAAATTAGCTTTTCAAGACCTTGAGGGGATTCTGAATGAAACCCCCCCCCCAGTCTTGGACAGCGTGGCCAGTGGCTTGGGGGTGGGGGGGGGGAAGGGGAAACTTAATTTATATTTAGTTGGAAGCCGCGGGAACTTTCGGAGTCGGCTCGATGTCAGCGTTCCCACGTAATACACCCGTAGAAAGCAGAAATCCGAGGCAGGCAGATTACTCAAAAGAACAATTTTATGGGATACATCCTATTGGCACAAGCTGGTGAAAACCGACTCTGAGATTTCTCGCGGCTTTCACCTCATTAAAAAGTAAAAAGTTTCCCCTTTTCCCCCCAAGTCACCGGTATCCAATCCAGGTGCTGGTTGGTTGCTTGGTTACTTGCTCCTCCTCTGGCCAGCCCCCTGTGAGAATGTCCTTGGTTCCCACAGGAAAATTTTATTGTTTTGGCTACAAAACCCCATCTAGCTGTTACCCCCCCTCTCCCACCACTGTGTGGCAACCCCGTAGCCTCCAAGGTGGCCCCAGCTAGGTTCACTTCAGGGTTGACATTTACACTGTTGGAATTTGTCCTCCCCCTTGTCCTGTTTGAGGTCTTGTGGCAAACGATAATAAACTCTTGGCAGAGGTCCCTCTCTCTTAGGGAAGGTTCCCATGCACCATTTTTTATTTGAGTTTGAAATAAGCCTCCTTTCCCTGGCCGTTTTGAAAGCTTAAAGCAGGGATCTGCAATCTTGGCAACTTTTTAAGACTGGCGGACTTCAGCTCCCAGAATTTCCCTGACCCAGCATGGTTGGTTGGGGAATTCTGGGAGCTGGAAGTCCACACATCTTAAAATAGCCCAGTTTGGAGACTCTCTGGTTTAAAGGGAGCATTTCCTCCCTTTTAAAATAAAACGGGGAATTCTCAACGACGGGAGGACAGGTGCCCCGGACATCCTGAGCTGGAGGCTGGAAATTCTGCCCCTTTTGAGCAGCGAGATCTTGCAGCCCACCAACCTCCCCCTGCCTGTTGGACTTAGGCCGAACCGAACGTGGTGTGGAAGCCAGCGGGGTCTTCCCAACCCTTCCTGTCTCCAGGAAGCGGGCGCCCTGAAGAAGACAGAGAAGGCGGGGAAGCGAAGGGCAACCCGGCCCATTGCAGACGACCGAGCCGTGGCCGTTAATTCGGAAGCATATTTCCCCGCCTCCTTTTGGGGAATGTCCGGCGGGATTAGACCTTGGCAGTTGGGGACGACCTTCGGCCTTTCTCCGCCACTGCCAGTCTCCTGTGTGACCAGCTAGCATCCTGCCTCTCCTCCTTCCAGGCGACGCTCCACCTCCTCCTCCTCCTCCACCTCCTCCTCCTCTTCCTCGTCCACTTCCTCCTCCTCCACCTCGCAGTCCAGCTCGCGGTCCCACCGGACAAGCAGCTACCACAGGACCGGCGGTTACAGCCGCTCTCGCAGCCACAGGTATTCCCGGTCCCACAGCAGGACCAGGCGGTACTCGGCGGGAGGCTCTCGAGATGGGCGACGACACTCCAGGTCGCGGTCGACAGAGCGGGGCTGGCGTTACGGCTCTCGACGCAGATCCAGGTCAGTGAGCCAAGCAGCGGGAGAAAGGGTGCCCCTGTGTACCTTTTTTTTTGGGGGGGGGAGGCAAGGGTAGACGTGCCACAATGCAGGGATGTCCAACCTTGGCAACTTTTAAGATGTCAGGATTCCGGCAGTTCCCCCCAATTAAATCATCTCGAGCCAAACTTCCAAAACTAATCAGGATTTATTAGGAGTTAATGTGCCAGCACTGCCTGGGTGCAGCCTCCTCTGGGACACATAATTTATTGTCACCCTTGACCCTGGTTTCCTCCACCCCCCCCCACCACCCCCTGGGTGTATCGTAATTCATATTCTCCAACGGGGCACATCCATAGCCCAGAGTCATCAATCATGCTCTCCAGTTAGAATTTTGCCCGGCAGAAACTTCAGTCACCTAGTTACAATCTCTGAAAAACTATGCATGGAATGCACTTTCTATTTTGAAACTGCCTCATTGCTCTTTCAAACCCCTTTCCCCCCCTTCCCTTTCTGTTGGCAACTCTGAAACGGGCATAGAAGTGTTTTATGAGTTGACATAAGACTTAGCGGACTTCAACTCCCAGAGTTCCTCAGGCAGCCATGCTGGATGGAGAATTCTGGGAGTTGAAGTCCGCAAGCTTTAAAAGTTGCCAAGGGCGGACATCCCTGCTTGGCTAGCAGGGGAATTCTGGGTGTTGAAGTCCAGAAGGGCGGACACCCCTGCATGGCTGGCAGGGGAATTCTGGGAGTTGAAGTCCTGAAGTCTTAAAAGTTGCCACGGGCGGACATCCCTGCTTGGCTGGCAGGGGAATTCTGGGTGTTGAAGTCCAGAAGGGCGGACACCCCTGCTTGGCTGGCAGGGGAATTCTGGGAGTTGAAGTCCTGAAGTCTTAAAAGTTGCCAAGGTTGGAGTCCCCTGCTCTAATGCAAGGCTCTTCCCTCATTCCCAGGAGCCATTCCCGGTCTGGGGACCATTATCGGTGGAGCAGTGGCAGAGGAGGGAGGCACTGGAGCAGCAGCCGCAGCAGCCAAAGTGAGAGTGAATCGCGGAGCCGCAGCCGGTCAGTGTCTCCAGCCAGAGAGAAAATGCTGAGGCCTGTGGCTTCGCCTGCTGTAGGGGAGAAACTGAAAAAGTGAGTGTGCGGTTTTATTTATTTTTATTTCATGCATTTATTTGTACCCCACCTTGATGGCTTTTATAGAAAACTCAAGGGAGCAAGCATATTTAATAAGCTCAGAGAGCACCAAGGACCCCTCAGTCTTTGTCCTCCTCCCCTTTCTCCCCTTTTCCACTTGCAAACCGCTTCTTTCAAGCACTGATGATGTTACCTAGATGGGTCATGAGACGTCTACAGGAAAACCACCAAGCTCAGAGGGTGCCAAGGACCCCCACAGTTCAACCCTGAGCTACAAATATTCAGTTCTATCAGTGCCTTTTAAAAGACACTTAAAAAAATAATAATACACCATCAGTGTAGTTTTGTGATGGCTGCTGCATTTTGCGTCCATTAAAGCTTCCACGTGCCCTTTAAAAGGTGGTCTTAATTCCCACCATGGATGAAAGGCTGGAAAAACCGACGAACCTAGCAGAGAGAATCTAAATTGACTGCTTTAATCAAAGCAAAACAACGCATTCCACTCTATTCCTCCTTGGAAGCGGCTTCTGGATTTTGCGCTTGAGATGGAAGAAAGCAAAACAGTTGACCTTGGGTTTTGCAGATTAGATAAGTTTGTTCTAGAAGTGGCTAGTCCATATTAACCTGCAACAGGTTGAGGCTGTAATGTTACTGTCTTATTCTACTGCACTAAAGAGAGTCAGAGGTCAATATTTTTCTCTTCTTTTTTTTCCTTTTTTCCCCTTTCTGTTTTTTTTTTTTTCATTTTCCTTTGTATTTTATATCTTGGAAAGCTTAATAAAATGATTACTAAAATAAAGGATTGGCTCCCTTAGGACTTGTTGAGTTAGTCACTGGAAGGCATGTCCATGGCTCGCTCAGAGGAATGAACCCCCAGTCTGGCATCCATCATTTGATTGACACCCATCTCCCTCCCTCCCTCTCTCTCTCTCTCTCTCTTTTAGGGCTGAAACTGCTGGTGGTAAAGAGACAGGAGCTGCCAAAGTCAGTAAGAATTTAAACCTCACCTCTTTAATTCCCACCACTGCAGAAAAACAAAAGACTCGGGGAAACCATAGACATGCAGGAAAAGGGTGCATTGTGGGGGCCTTTGCATGGTCATGCTTGATCGTTTCGTATTTAGCGAAGGGTGGAGATAGAACTGAACTGAATAACCTGTGTTTGGAAGGGTCCATAAAATGCAAGCCTGTTTGCTATCCGAAGATCGTTATGCAGCTTCCCTTGTCATGTTCAACCCTACATTTGCTTCAGGAACAAAATAGGCCTCCTTGGTTGTTTCATCCAATCTTCAAATAACAGAATTAACAGAGTCGGAAGGTACTTTGGAGTCTTCTGCCGGGTTTCCCCCCAAAATTAAGACCCTGTCTTATATTGGTTTTGGCTACCAAAAAAGGCATCGGGTCATATTTTTGAGGGATGTCATCCACTGATTTAATAACCTCACTTGCACGAGTTGCCCCTGGCCTCCTTTTCGCTGTCCAGAGGCCTTCAGGAACTTCTTCTTCTGCTGCCAGTAAGGCTTTCCTGAAGGCCTCTTCAACTGATCATGGAGCTCTGGATCGATCCAAAGCTTTCTTATCAGCTACAGAGGCCTTCAGGAAAGCCTTACTGGCAGCAGAAGAAATGGGCCGTCAAGGCAAGTGTCGGAGTGTGCGAGGCCTGGCTACAACTGTCCACAGGTAAGTAGTTGGGCAGCTCCACCCCCCCCCCTCATCCCCACCCTAGCTTAATTTTTACTTATGCACTCGAGTGGGCAGGATCTTAATTAGGGCTTATTTTGGGGTGGGGGGGGTAGGGAGTAGGGCTTATATTGGGCTCGTGTAAAAAAAATCAAACTTACTTTCAGGGTAGGTCGTATTTTCAGAGAAACTGGGTAGTCCAGACAGCCCCCCAACCTTTTGGGCACCACAGACTCGGTTCTGTGGGGAGAGGTTTTTCCATGGACCGGAAGGGCCGTGGTTTCGAGTGCTGTCTCCATTGTGCAGATGGGGGCTTTGCTTATTTCCACGGCCCGGTTTTTGGCATACCACGGCCCGGTGTGCTAGTCCACGGACTGGAGGTTGGGGACCGCTGTTCTACTCCAACCTCCTGTACAGGCAGGAAGACCCCGCTATCTCCAACCTTGGCAAGACTTGTGGACTTCAACTCCCAGAGTTCCTCAGCCAGCCATTCTGGATGGAGAATTCTGGGTGTTGGAAGTCCACAAGTCTTAAAAGTTGCCAAGGTTGGAGACTCCTGCCATCTACCATTCCAGACAAGTGGCTGTCCCGTCTCTTCATAGGGTTGGGGCACCCACAACTTCTGGTGGCGAGTCGTTCCACTGGTTCATCGTTCTCACGGTCAGGAAATTTTCTCAGATTATCCACCTGCAAATATGAAATCAGTTTAGATTAGAATGAAGAATTTTCTGGAAGGATGATCTTGACTGCCAAGCTGAAGGGCTGCAAAATTAAAAAAATAAAATAAAATAGAGAGATCCCTGGGGATTCAAGATGGGAGGGCAACTTGCTTCCAAGCCTGTTAAAATGAAAATCGTTTTTTTTTTTCTTTTTTTCTTAGCTTGTTGGTTCATTTGTGTCAAAAGCACCGCGGATCAAAATCGGGCATGCTCCACAGGTAGTCCTCGACTTACAACGGTCCATTTAGTGGCTGTTTGAAGTTACCGACACCGGTGACAAAAAGGGACAGGCGGCCGGTTTTCACACTTAAACTGTTGCAAGCGTCTCCGTGGTCACGCATATCCGAGTTCAGACGCTTGGCAAAATGGTTCCTATTTATGACAGTTATGTGGTCCCCTTTGGCGACGGGGAAGTCTACAGGGAAGCCACATTCACTTAACAGCAGTGTTACTAATGGAACAATTGCAGCGCTTCGCTTAACCACCGCAGCCAGAAAGGCCGCAGAATGGGGCCAAACTCACTGAACTGTGTTGCTTAGCCACGGAAATTCGGGCCTCAATTGCTGTGGTCGTAAGTCAAGGACTACCTGTACCCAGCAGCTTTGAATTGCTTACCTGTGTACCAGGGGTGGGATTCAAGATTTTTTACTACCCGTTCTGTGGGCATGGCTTGGGCATGGCAGGGGAAGGATACTGTAAAATCTCCATTCCCTCCCCACCCCATTAACCTGCTTTCCAGCTCCATTCTCCTATGCAGGGCAACAAAAGGAGACCCAGCCAATCAGCTGGGACTCGATGGGAGGCGGAGCATAGATGGGGCGGGGCTAGTCAGAGGTGGCATTGGCCGATTCTCTGAACTACTCAGAATTTCCGCTATTGGTTCTCCAGAACTGGTCAGAACTGGCAGAATAGGAATAAAGGAAAGGAAAGGAAAGGAAAGGAAAGGAAAGGAAAGGAAAGGAA